AAGTATAAATTGCTACTCTAGATGGCTTAATCTTAGTTTAGAATTTTCACTTATGCCACATCCTTCCTCCCACCTCCATCACCCTGCTATTACACCACATTGCTTTCCTTCTTCATTCAGTGTTCTGTATTCTAGGAAGGTTTTGTCTTTTGCTGCTTTAGCATCTCTTACAATTACTTGAATACTTCTGCTTGGGTCCATTTTATATCACATATGTGTGTACTTTTAATATAAAGGAACATTTTCATGTTTTTGTCTCTTGAAACAGGAGACATCCCTTTAGATTGAAAGCATCTATACAGCATACACTGTCTTTTAATTTTTTTTGTTATATAGAGTTTTGCACTGAGTGTGGTGGTGATGTTTAGCAGTTCTCTGGAAGTATTGTTGTGGTTTTACATGCCTAATTGAAATCCTAGAGTCTGTAAGTTATGGCCATTCGTTCATTCTTTTTTTTACCTTTGAAATATTTATGCACATTTGCTATGTGCAAGACTGCAAATAGCCATGGGGGAGGCAAGGATGAATATGATATCTTTGTTTTCAGGGAAGTTATAGAGATCTAAAATTAAGACATAGATTGAAATTGGATATCCAGTGTATTGGGTGAGTTACAGTGGACTAAAAAATTTTTGCATTATTCATTATATTCTTATAACTAGATTTATATTTTGGAGGGGTTTTTCTAATGGTATAGAATTTTCTAATGGTTTTCAGAATTTGTTCTTTTTGCTTTTAAAGTATCATAAAGATTTAATGGCTTCTTTCAGAGTTATGCATTGAGTTATGAGTTGAGTTACAAGAGAACCTTTACATGTAAGGATGCAAAGCATATTTCTTTATATTTATCCATTTTTGGGTTTATTGAGCCATTCATATTAGTTATTAAATTTCTGCTTAGGTTAAAATGTTATACCTAACCTGTAGAGTCTATGTGGCTAAGTAAGCCCAAGTATGATTCGGTTTTTTAAGAGCTAGACATGCTTGTGGGTGCCCCTGAGTTGTCCTTTTACTTAAAATTAAAAAAAAAATTTCTGATCTGTAAGAGGAGGCAGTAATATAAAATTGACCTTTTTGAAGGATGGAGGAATAATGAGTTAGGATAAATGGAGAGAAGAAAAGGGTTAGGGAACAGACAGTCCCTTTCTAGTATGGTAGTAAAAGGGGCATTTCCCACTTTTTTATTCTTATGCTCACTAAGAGGCAATCAAATAAATCTCGTACTCACTATAAAATCATCAGACTGAGAAATGACCCAGAAGTATACTGGTATTACCTCTAGACATAGGAGCCATTTAAGAAACTCAGCAAGTTTACAAGCTGAAGAGAAATGAAAATTTAAATGAAGAAATAATTTGAGATTCTAACCCTGGGAATAGATTCCCATGTAAAACTGGCTTGCCTACCCATAACATCCTTACTTACATTGCATTATTTATTTCCTCTTCAGCTTGTTATACTGTTTTATCAATTCTTTGAACTCTGGGCATCTTCACTTAAAAATGCCAGTGATTCTGGTAATGTAAGTGACTTAATCATTTACATACTAGCATGACTTAGTGGAATCAGATCCTTTTCTTCTAAGAGTCTTGATCAACAGCACTGAGAGAAGTACAGTTTTTATAGTGTCGTTATTTTTAAAATTATGATGAAGGAAGGTATTTTATTTTGGAACGTGGAAAACTGTAGGAATAGGAAAAGTATGGATAGAATTGCTGTAGTACTATTGAAGGCAGGTTGGGACATTAGCTGCCTGGAGACCTGAAAGAACGGATATTAGAGATCAGAAAAAGGATGCAGGGGCCAGCCCGGTGGCGCACTGGATAGTGCGCCGCTTGGGAAGCGCTGCAGCGCTCCCGCCCGAGGG